TTAAGCCACATGGGCTGTGGGTTCTGGACACTTGTTTTTTTTTGCAGTCAGTGTCCCTAGTATGCACAGAACAGAAAGAGGATCCTCAATTTTAACAAGGACTTGGCAGGTAGATTCCTGCTGCCCAAAAAACGTTAAGTATGTTGAACTCCAGAGCCAGCCAGTATGATTCCTGGCCGCCCGATAGGAACCTGGTCGGCCTGGTTTTCAACTTTTATCGGGCTCTCTGGGTCTCTTTTTATCCGGCTCTGAATCTGGCCATGTATTTGGGCAACATTCATAATCTGTTTCTAGGCCAATGGCAAGCAATTTGATGATTGATAACTTAATCAGCCAAGAACATCTGAATCGTATATCAGGTGGTGGGTGCTTTATCATCATAATGTGTCAGTGTCTAAGTTAGCTGTGAGTGACCTTTTTCTCAAATTAATTCCAAGTGCTATGTCTTCCTTCTATTTCTCTCTCTTCAGTATGATACTTGTTTGACCTCTCCGATACAATACATGTGTTGCGGTCGATGGTAAAATGGGCCCCTCTGTTGTCGTGCGGAACTTGGCAGGCGAGGACGTCATTTTCATTGCAAATGATTGGCACACAGCTCTTGTCCCCTTGTATCTCAAGAGTAGGTTCATTCCCAAAGGGATCTATATGAACGCCAAGGTACACAATACCCCGTCCTATAACCGGTTTCTCTCGCCTGAGTCACCTGTTCCTCAGCTCCTCTCTTCTTTTCTCCTTCAAGGTGTGCTTCAACTTCTTCAACGCTGCATCGCATAAACCCTTTAGCCCTTAAACCCTTAAACCCCTAAACCCTTAAGCCCTAAAGATAGTGGACTGGTGGCTACATTATAAGCCCTAAGCTGCTTGAGACAATGGACTGGCCAGTACTTTTAAATTGGGATAGAATCATGAAAATCATAAAATGTTAGTAAATCATAAATTCATAAAAATGATCAACCACATTATCCACACAACTGACTGGTTGACTCTCAGTGTACTTGGTGGTAAGTGTAAAGATGATAAACCACATAGTACATGTCCTGCTGGTTTCTGGTTGAACTTGGGCAGACCTGGTGACCACGTAACTGGCGTGCAGGTTCTGGACTAAATTTGGACAACCATGATTCATCATTGACCAATTTTTTTAGCTCCAGGTTCTGAAATGTGTGAAATGAATTTGGATGAAGTTAATTCACCAGTGGCTTCTTTTCAATAACCTGCTACAAATATGATGGACCATTGGACCACGTGTGGTTGGGATCTTGCTGGCCGAACAGGTGACGTGACCAACGGGCCTAGCTCAGTTGGTAGTGAACCCATGGACTGTTGAAATCCACATTTAATACAGGACCCCTGTTCGAATCCAAATGGTTATTGGAACACAACAAATGAAATCCAATAATTCTTCGCAGCCTGGATCAGGTCAGTTCTCCAAGACGACCGTTTGCGAACAGGTGAAGCTGAAGCCTTCAAGGCTCCTTTTCATATGGCGACCATGCTAATGAATGGTACTAGTTTGGTCTGAAATACTACTGGCACGGAAACAGTATGGACTCAGCACTGAGTCAGCAGATATTCAGCTTGGTCTGAATTTCTCTGAAATTCCAACGTTGGAAATGCTGGCGTTGACGAGCGATATTGCTTGTAGCGAAGTAGGACCATCACGCCTATTTCTTGTGACATCACACGGGTGACATCACACGGGACATTCAGAATTTCTGAATTTGTGCTAGTACTGCAGGCAGTGGAGGGCTCAGGGCCATTGGCGGAACGGAAGAGTCAAACTTACCTATGAATATCACTCAGGGAATGTATTATGAACTTGTCTTCTCTTTCCATTAATTTAGGAATCAAGTGCTGGATCGGAAGAGCAGACAGAGTGGCCATTGGCGGCATAACACTTGAGCAATAACAAACTGGACACACAGACAACACACACACACACACACACACACACACACACACGCACACGCACACACACAGCTAACAAACTGAAACACTTAGACAAACCT